CAATTTCCCATATAGCCATTTCTCAAACTGCATCTGTCATTCAGGTCCTGGTCCTTCACTTACTGAGAGAACGGCTAGGAGGATCTTGAGGTTCGAATCAGACACACTAAAGGAAAGCATCGTCGGCACTGCTAAGAGCTACATAAACGATGCGTGTGTGGGGTGGAGGGTTCTTTATTACTAACAACTACATGGCCATGAGTTCCCTCTGGGGACCACTGTTGTCTTAAAATTCAGGTCACTTTAACAAACATTTCTTAAGTTCCTGTTCTTTATTTGTGTAAATCTTTCCCAGGGGTGTGGCATAACCTGGCACAAGAAATGAATGAAGACCACCCAGTAGGATGCAAGCCTTGAGATAATCATTTTTCAATCATCATTTCAATAATCATTAATTATAAAGTAAAGCATCATATAATGAGCTAAATTGCATATCTATGAATCAATATGATTTGTCATAATGAACCATAATAGAGTTTGGTTCTATCTCCACTTTATGAAAGTAACATTAAGAAAATTCATTCTCATAAAGTAACGGATAAGCATGAAAGTTCTGTCAAAGTGAAAATCACTGAATTCTTTAAATTCCTTCTGGGCTATAGGCTAAAAACCATGTAATCACCAATCATTTAATATCTAGGCTGACAATTCAGTTAAGTCTCCCTCAAAATTTGTTTTAAAACTAGAAAAGAATCTGTCGCCCCATCAGTTCCAGTGATGCATATAAAAAAATCCTACAGAGTCCTCCCCCAGCACCCCCCCCCCCCCGCCCCAGCCAGAGGCTTCTTGTTTATCCTAGAAACTAAGTCAGGATTGGGAAAACTGAAATACTGTTCATTTCAACATCCTCTGGCAAATAAATAAATAAATAGCCTGTTTTATCACTTGTTTTAAGTGTATTTGTGAAAAAACAAACAAACAAACAAAAACAAAAACCCCCAAAAATACAAACAAAAACACACCAAGAGTACAGCTCATTTAGTTTAAGAAGAATGTCTACCTTACTACATAAATGGCAAAAATTGTTGTTAGTGCCAAACCAATCAGCCAGAAAAATAGGACTTAATTTTCGAACTTGAATAAATACCTTAACCCATGTCCCCACATGCCTCTTGTCATCTGAATGCTAATTATAAAGTTTCAGTAAGCCAGAGCCTTACATGAGCTTGTCACTTGGATGGGAAAAGGCACTGGCCCCTTAAGCATTTCTCTTTTGCCATTTTTTCTCTTATCTCAAAAATTACATTCTTTAATAATGAAGAGAGAATTAAAAGGTAAGGTCATTTCATACAAACTCCTAGCATTTTGGGAATTCAGCACACTACAATACTGGTGATATCTCTCGCTTTCTTTTTTAACCGTGAACATATATGTGTATGAGTATAAGAGACATGAACAGAGAATTTTCCTTTGTGTCCTTCCTTGTCTTTGTCCCCAAAGCTAATCTTCCCCCACCCCTCTTCACATGACCCTGGTCCCAAACTGTCCCCCATCATCCCTCTTGATAAAATCCAAAATGATCAAATAATAGCTATTCATCTCAAAGAACAATTCCTCTGTCTTCTGGGATTCATTCCTGGTTATTCCTGAAAGGAGACAATCTCCAGGTGACTTCTCCACCCCACTTAGAAAAACACACACCTTCTTCTCCCAACTTAGAATGTTCCTTTGACATCCTTTCTCAGGCCCAGCATTTTGAACAAAGGCTTATTCTTTGCTCTGATTTTCTTCCATACAACACAGGGAAAGACAGGAAGCTCTACCTAGTACCTTAACGAACGGAGGCTTCATTAATACTAGTAATTTGAATTGTCCTGTTTGTCTGAACCCAGGAGGTTTCTGCCTTCTTCTCCAGGGCAATACACCTGTAAAAATATTCATGATGCATAAGAGTATGCCCTTCTTCTTTAAACTAGGAGAAGGGCAATTGCGGACAGGATGTGAGAAGAGAAGCAGCATACTACTTTGCTACTGTGACCTAAGGAGCCATGTCAGGAAACAAACACAGAAGTTGAGAATTGGGAAAATGATTCCTGTAGAGTTATTTGCATACAGAAGTTCAAAGTGCACTGGTTTAGCATGCCTAGAACACAAGTCACAAAGAAAGAAGTCACCATGAGCAGCCTCCTGTTCAACGGCAGGTTCAAAGCCACAAATACAGCAGCTATAGGAATTATCACACCGCACATGAGTATAAACACATGTAAAGCATTTAAAGAAAAAGAGTGTTTAAAAATATAGTAACAAAAGACTATGAGAAATGGCTAGGCCAATTTCAAAAGAAAAATAACTATCTAGAAGTAAAATATTAAGGTAGAAACTCGAGAAATGGGTTATACAAAAGGACACCTACATGGAGATGAACACAGACCTAAAGAAATTACACCAAATGTAGCTCAGAGAGACAAAGAGATGGAAACTATGAAAACATTAAGAGACAAAGAAATAAAGGAGAAAACCACAACACATGTCTACTGAAAATTTCAGGGGAGAACAGAGATAACAGAGGAAGCGCAATATGTCCCAGTCCCAAACAAGGTATTACTTACACAGAAGGAAATCAAGGACTAGAAAATAAGAACACAAGTCATTGAGAAGAGCTTGATAAACTGGCTACATTTTAAAGTTAAGAGTTTTGAACGTACAAGGACTTCATTGAATGAAAACTTGACCTAGGAACATAGAGAAGACATTTGCAATGTATACAACAAAGGAACAGTCTTCAGATTATTAAGAAAAATGGTGAAGTAGAAGAATGGTCAAAAGCAATAAACAGTATTTCAGTAGGGAATCACAAATGGTTAATTAACATATGAAAAGATGCTCAGTCTCATTAAGATTCAATGAATTGCAAATTTTGCTCCAATGAGACACCATTTCATGCCTACCAGATTGGCAAAAATTAAAGTCCAATAACATCAAACATGGTGGGTACACTAACGTTCATTTTATTATTCCTTAGACAGTATACACACATTATACAGGTTCTTTAACATGCATATGTTTCATAACAAAATATTTTTTAAGTGCCACCTGGATTTAGCAATAAAAATGTTCTTTCATGACCCTGCTGAGAGCTGTTTCACTGAAATAATGGGCATGGAAGCCAGGCTTCAATGGGCTGAAAGGATCCTATGAGATAAGGACACAAAAACCACCACAGACAGCTATTTCAAGTTAATCTCTGAGGTTGGGCAGACAGGACAATTTCAGGGGAATGTCACAGTGAGAGCTCTTATTTATTTATTTTTACTTTTTAAATAAAGGAAACTGGGACAAGTTTAGAAAGAAATGGCGAGAGGGAGAGGATAATGACACAGGAAATAAAGGGTCCCTGGGTAGTCACAGAAGTATACAACACAGAGCCCATGAGTAGAGATTAGTTTTAGGCAGGAACAACAGTTCCTACTGCTTTGTTATAAGAGACTACCTCTTTGTCCACACCATTTCTTTTTTCTCCTTGCTCTAACCACTGCAGTTACAATGGCTTCCTTGATCTTCCTTCAAGCAGGCCCTGCCTCAGGACTTTTGAATTTATTATTCCCTCTATGGAGAAAAGCTAATACTCTTTTTCCAGATGAAGCAAAGTCTACTTTTCCTTTCCTTCAAGTCTTTGCTCAGATATGAACTCAGTGAAGCAGTTACCAGACCACTCTAAAAGTGAAATTCCCTCCTCACTCCCTACCACCCTGCTACTGGTAGTCCCTAGTTTCTTTCCCTGCTTTATTTTTCTCCATAACTTTCTCATATCCTACATAATATACTCATTTTATTATTTAATCTCCCAACTCGATTGTATACACATGCCATGAATGCAGGAACTGCAGGTAGAAGCTCAATAAATACCTGCTGAATGACTAATGCCCCTGCTTGAGGAATCTGAATAACAAGTACAATAGAAATGAAGATGTAAGATTTGAACAAAATGAAGTAAAGCCTAGAGGGTATTCAATTTACTGACTACAGAAGGGGTGACATCTGAGTTAGAACTTTGATCATACGGAATTTGACAAGCAGAGAAAAAAGGGAGACATTCCAAAAAGAACACGGAGGTTTGAAAGGGCCTTGCACTCGTGAGACAGGAAGATGGTACACCTGGAATACTGCAGGGATGACAATGGATTAGATTCTAGCTAGTCTTGTAACAACTGAGGACACATTAAGCTTAACTCTAAAAATCCTTTCAAAAGATTTATAGTTGCTGGGTTACTTATTTGCAGTAAAGTTCAAATACAGAATATAGAACAAAGTTGACATAACGCTACTGGAACTACTCTCTTCACTACAAAGGAAAAAAGTCTGAACAAATTTAATCCGTGTTTTCCATCAACTGTAGATTATAACTTTCAAAATCAATCAAAGTGAGAATGTTGCCACCAAATGTCCTAATCCAGGTATTAATACTAAAAATTCTCACTGGTAGGAGAGCTGTTTGGATGCAGAGGTAGTAATGGTCAAATGTAAATGTTTGTTTCGTAGCAGATACTCTCCATTTTACCATTTCTGACTTTATTGAATTGGCTTGCATTTGTCATAGTTAACCTGCCCATATTACTATGCTCACAAAATCAGTCTGTAGTCCTTTCGTCCACATCACTACTGTCTTTGGGACAATCACCTTCGACGATCCAACTCAATTACTCAACTAACTACCCATGTTATTTTCAGGTTTCCCTGATGGAGATGAGCACCTCTTTCGTGTGTACACAGAAAAAATAAAAACACCTCAGGTCATTGTGTTTCAGTATTCGTAAGACTATGCAGTCAGTTTAGGAATATTTAAGCCCAAGACAGAAGAGGCGGTGGACACCACGGTGCTTCTGGAGTTTTGCTTTTCAGATATCCGCGAAGGAGGAGAGAGCTGGTCGGGACTTCTAAGAAGGGCAGGGCAGAGGTTAGAGCTCAGGTCTAAAGCCAGGGGGCGGGGCCTGCCCCGTGAACCAGCACGAAGGGTGGGCCCCGGCAGGTAGGGGAGGCCGCGGCAACTCGGAAAGACTCACAGTAATAGGCCACAACAGGGTCCCGCTTGTCATGCTCCTGAGCCGTCCTCAGATGATGCTGTATGCTCTTAAACTGCGGGGGGAGAGGAGGCAGCGGGGCAAGCGCGGCCATCTCCACTTCGACTAAACACTTCCTACTCGCGTGCCACCCGCACTTCCGCTTCCGTGCGGAGATCAGGCTCAAAAGCGCGCTGGGCGAGTCCCGCCCATTCTTCTGTTGCTCAGCAACAGCAAGTCAACTACGGCTTCCCAGTAGGAACAATCTCAGTGTTCTTGACTCCTGGCGTTTAAAGTCTGAGAGATACTAGCGCTCTCTGCTGGTGCGAAGGAGGGAAGTTTTGTTTTGTTTTGTTTTGTGTGTGTGTGTTTTTTTTTAATTGGTTACCATGGCCCTCACCAGTTTTGTGGCTAAAGGAAGGATAGAAAGGGAAAAACAAAAATAACATAATGTTTGTTGATTGGAAAAAAGGGTAAAGGCATGAATTGCCCTCGGCATCATTCAAGAATTGTTGCTTCCAATTCCTCAGATATATTAACAGCCTATCAGAAGCTTTTCTAATCTTAGACACTGTACATTCAGTTCTTGCATGAGAGATGATGTGTTTAAATTTTTTAATTATTTCTTTTATATTGACGCATTGGATAAAGTAACCAGCAATTTTTTTTCAACTTGAAAATTGAATTTTTTGTCTGAATTGGACAGTGTATACTTTAGTGAATAAATAATCTGTAAATCATATACTTTTGGAAAGTGATGAACAGTTTTGCAAAGTGTTTGGACATCCATTACCTTGTCATTGTACAGAGAAGGTGCCCGGGTATGGTTCTTGCTTAATGCTACTGACTCATAATATTGTAGGCATCAATTTTTCCTTCTAGCATCAATGACTTCAATTCTTTTTCTTTCTTCTCTGTCGCACACTATCATCTTTCACTTTATTTACCTCCTTGAATAGCCTTCATTATTTCTTTATTTTGTTTTAGTACATATTTTTGACAGTTCATCTTAAAATGATTTACATTGAAATCACATCATTTCCAAGAAAGAAGATCTTAAGCTCTGAAATTTTCCAGTTTACAGTTCTCTAATCAACACTAAAGTGTCCTAACCCCTGAAGGAGCTGCTTTATGTCCTTATTTTATCCCCACTTCATGGCCTTTGCCCATTTTTGTTTGCAGAGTCCACCACCTTACTCTGGAACCTTTTTTTTTTCCACCCAGAAAAAAAAAACTGAGTACTGTATTCTCCCCAATCTCAGCAACATGTTTACTACCACTTGAGGATGTATTAGCTACAAAGTGAGTATCTGGTGGTGGCTCCCCACCACCAAATTCATATGTAGAAACGTAATGCCCTATGTGATCATATCAGGAGGTGGGACTTTTGGGAGGTGATACATTTCTGTTGTTTATAAGCTATCCAGTCTGTGGTATTCTGTTACAGCAGCCTGAACGAACAAAGACATTATGATTTCTTCCTCTGATGGCCACTATCCTGACTTTCTGGTCAGAAGTCACTGAGTTGATAGAGAAGTTAATGAAGCAAAGCAGAGTGGAATAACCATAAATTTCTTTTCTCTGTTCTTATGATTTCTTATTTATTCTCTTGTATCATTTCCTGATTCTCAACTGTGGTTGTCCTTAAAGATCATCTCAGAAGTTTTAAAAAAAGATTTGTATCTAGGTCCCACCACCAGACATTCAAATTCAGTGATCTGGGTTGGATCCTAAATATCAGTATTTTGAAAATGTCTTTAAGAAATTTTAGTGGCATATCTAGGGTTAAGGAACAGTGCCCTAGTGAATCACCAGTATGCACCTGATTCTTCAAACCTTCTCAACTCTTTTCAAGCCAGACCCTCTGCCCTGATTGCCTTGGTCAAAGGCTGTGCTCACTGCCTGGAGATTAAGGTCACCAAATAGGAACTGTTTCACCTTACCTCTGCAACAAAAAAGGTAATAATAACTAGCCAGTATTTATTGAGCATCTATTATGTATCATGCATTGTTCTAGGTGCTTTACATCAACTTGTTTAATTTTTATTACAACCCTATAAGGAAGTTAATATTATCATTTTCATTATTTTACAGATGAGAAAAGTGAGAAATAGAATTTGTGTGACTTGTACCAGGTCACAGCCAGTAAGCATGAGTGTTCAACATTAAAATCCAGGTACTTTCATTTCACAGCCTGTCAAGCTAACCACTACTACTTGACTTTAATGGCTCTCTAGACCAATATATTCTTCTTGTGTTTCATCTTTGCTCTATTGCAGCATCCTTTGTCTGGAAAAACAACAACAACAACAACAACAACAACAGTTCTTTCTTTCTGGAAGACCTACACCTTTTTGTTATTTTCCTAATCTCTCCTTTCAGGAATAGAAGTTACTCAAGATCCCTTTCTCAGTTGCATACATTCTAGGAGTAGAGGGGCAAAATATCCAATTAATTACAATAATTAGATTGGATTTTTTTCCATCTTCTAACATGGCTCTTTTTTTCTTAAGCACAGTACTCTTGTCAGTAGAGGATAATTGATATAACAGGAAAAGATAACACAGGTATTGTGAGCATAACAGTACATTGAGATTGTGCTGTGAATCAACAACATTCGGTTAGTTTATCTTGTTGATGTTTTACAATGAAGAATTTACTATGATACTTTACTATGAAGAAAGACCTAAACCCTCCTCCATCCAGCTCTAACAGGACCCTTCAGGATACGGCTGGAATCGGCCCGTGAGGGGAAGGCAGAGATAGGGGTTGGGACAGCCAGGGAAAGGATAAAAGGGAGAGAGACCAGACTGACAAATATTTTGATGGAAAAAGCTAATTGTTTTGCACCACTCCCTGGACTCCAGTGTACGTGGGATCATCTCTCAGCGGAAATTCCTGTTTTTTATGTGGCCACAGCTATTTTGGTGGCAAATGGCAGGGCTCAAACAGTGTAACACAGGTAATACATATCTATTGCTGTGCGTTTTGGGTACACCATGTAGGGTAGAAACTTGGGTTCCAGTATCATGAGGCTCACGTCTATTCGTTTAGCAAGCCTGAAGATAGAGACAGTTTAAACATTTCTGCAGAAGACTGAGAGAGAAGACCTTGGTGCCTGGCCAGGCCTATCTACACATCCATGACTGGGGCAGGTCTGGAGGTGAAAATTGCTCTTTATTGTTTATGAACATCATGTTTTTCCAGCACCATTGAGTTATGTTGGTAAATGTAAAAAAGAACGCAACTATATATTTGTAGAACTATTTCTGGTCTTTCTTGTGTTCCTGTAATCAACATACCTGTCCTATACCAATCCATACTGTTTCAAGGAAAGTAAGTTGGATTTTTCTCCCGTGTGCTCATGTGGAGAAACCCTCACTAATTTAAAAATCTTAGTTCCAAAAGTTCATGACATCAAACAGAGGCTGAATAATACCAATGAAAAGATGGAAAACCTCAGAATTTGACTGACTCTATCTATCTCTAATAAGGTACCAGTAAAAGTCTGCATTCACGAAGTTCTTAAATGACATCAAATGAGGATGATTATTAGTTATGCAGGCAGATAAAAATAAGTGTGTTAAATTGATATAAATTTGTCTTTGAAATAATTCCATGGCTATTTAGAGAGTCTAACTTACTGTAAATATAATTTTTCCATTTCAATAATCTTGAATATAGGAGTGATAGTTATACCTATGAGCATAGAGGTTTTATCTTTTCAACAAGAAACCAGAAAATATCCCACAATATTTTTCATAACTTTTAAAAATTTATTTGGAGACTCTATTACCATATCATTTAATATTTATATTTTTAAGAAAACAGTAGAGTATAATATAAAAATATGATTGCCCCATTTCTTCAAGTTAGTGATTGAATATACAATGACTCATTTAATAATTAACTTACAACATTTGTGCTTAAATAAATTACACTTTACCTGACTGCAAATATACTAACATCCTCAAGTTAAAGCTGCATGGTTCAGTGGAAAGGGAAATGGCTTTAGAATTAGGAGATCTGGATTCTAGTATGGTTGTATGAATTTGGGCCCATGTATTAACCTCCCTGAGTCTCAATTTTCCACTCTGTATAAAAGGGATAATAAAAGTTTCTCTGGCCACACAATACTATGCTCTATTAAGATACTGTGTATGAGACAACTCTGTAAAAGTTCTATTTAAACAGGAGTTAACATTAGTTCTATGTATATTTTCTAATGCATGACAAAATTAAAATAGAATGAAATGTTTGTTCAAGAATCCCTGACTTAGAACTTAGCATTATATTTTATATTAGACCTAAATTTCAGACACACTGAGTTTGAAGAGTAAATATTTATATTTGAGATTGAGATGCTCACTGAATAAGGTAAAAATAAATTAAAATGATGGCTAAATAACTGTAGCATGATAGTAGGGAATCAACCTTTGGGTCACTGCTTAATTAGAAAGCATAATCTAAATATGATCTCAAGAACCTCAGTAACACATACTATCATTGTAATTACAGTAAATATATACATTACAATGAGAAAACTGGTCTTCTCAAAGTGTTCTGGCCCCATGCATTTTATAATAGTCAGTTTTTTTCCCAGGAGATCCAGTATCACATAGTTAGAGAGGTTTGATTTGGAAACCAAAGAGGTGAATCTGAAGCCAAACTGATATCACCTCTAGACTAATTCTTACTAAAACAGTGGGATATAAATCAGTGTAGATGGGCTTTTGAATAAGGTGTTCTTGATGATGCTGTTACATGCAGCGTGAAGATGGAAAGTAGCACCAGGGACCAGGACAACCACTAGTTGTAAAGCCCAGAACACCTAAAGTATGTCAGAAATATCTAATATCTCTGATATCTATATATCAACATATAACCAAAAGTACTCTTAAAAATCACTGATTTTCAAGAGAAGCCAACTTAAAGATTCCAAGTTTTATAAGTCTTAGAAGCAATAAAAATGATATAATGAAGATAGTAATGCTTAGCATATCCTTTAATTCATAAGATGGTTAAAACTTTAACCATCTTAGTAATTGTGAAAATGTAGTCATATTTTAGTATCATCACCTACCAATTACTAATAATGATGAAGGACTTTATTTGAGTAGCTACCTGATTTCCATGTTCTAATCACAGGCCTGCAGTATAATTATATTGGTAACATGAACAGATCATAGAATGTTGGGGTTGGAAGAAACTCTCAACCCGCTCAAATGAACTTACCTGAAATAAACAGCTAGTTAAAAAAATAGTAGTAATGCTAGAAACAATATCTGTTAAGGTATTCTTTATCTTATTATGATGTTAACTTACATGTAAAAGGAAATTTTATGTAGCATAGAGGAAGGTTTATGGGCACACAGGAAACCCTGCTCGTGGAGTGATTGGCCTGAACTGGTTGTAGCAGAAGCGGTTCGTCTCCCTCTTGTCGGGATCACAGCTGAAGTGCAACGCCTCATTTCCACAGACCACAGAGCCTAGCACCCGAAGAAGGGACATTTGGATGGACCCCAAGAAACAGGTATGAAATTGACCGATCATAGTTGGAGGCTTCACCTGTTACAGTTTTAGGAGGAAAAAATCTTTTGAAAACAAATGTTAAAGGAGAATATTTTATGGAATTTGTTGCATTGTCACATTTAAAAAAAATTAAGATTCATGAGGTTTTGAGGCAAGAAAGAACCTTAGAGATCATCAAGCCCACTGTGAATCCTGCATTATGAGATCCCTAACCTCTTTTTACTCTGAAAATATAAATACAACAGTCAAACAGTGTCATGATGCTAATCAAGTGTATGATTTTGGAAATACTCAAAAAGCTTGACATTCATTGGATATCCCTAATCCTTTTGTAATAAAATTAAGAAAATCTTAGAATGTTTAGGGTCTCTTTTGGGAAAGTAAAAAACAAATCCAATATTAAACTCATATGTACTATCTTAGCAACCAAATAATGTTTATTTAATTGTCATTACAGTATATTTTCTACTTTTTTAATTGAATTGTGAGAGAGTGAGTTATTTTAAAACACTAGGAGCTAAAAGTACTTCCTGAAATATTCTAGTTATAGTTTTAAATTCAGAATATTTTTCAGACTATAAGACACACCATTTCCCCTCCAAATTTGGAAGGAGAAATGGTTGTTAATGATGCTGTTGAGTTCTGTTTACATTTACATTGGTGAAATATTATGTTATTTATATTTATGTATTAAATATATGTATTTATGTATTAAATATTTATAATTTATATTTATATTTATGTTATTAAATATTTTACCACATTTTATGCTTCATTTTTTCCTCTATTTTCTTCGTCTAAAACCTACGTGCACCTTATGGTCCAAAAAATAAGGTATGTGGTTGATATACAAGGTCTGGCAAAAATTATGCCCCCTTTTTATTACCAAATTTTTTATTACAAAATCATAAGCATGCAATTCTGTAACATAACAAGATCACACCAAAGCACACCACATGATATTTCAGGTGAAGTGTTCACATTAAAACTAAAAATTATCACACCCGTATTATTCCCCAACCAACCACACTCAAGCAGGCATTGATTCCGCCGGAGCCTGTAGTGTTCTCCATATGTAGAGGAATTTATTCACCAACATTCACAAAAATCAGTTTAAAATACACAGACAAGACTCATACAGTTTCTTTTATAATACTTACGCATCCTTCACTGAAGTTTTTGATGTCATTTAGAGACGTGTCTCAGGAGAGGGTACCCTGGCATCCCTGGAGGTTAATTCTTGACCTGCCTTGCCAGTTTGCTTCTGCTGGGATCAAACTCATGTTGTGTCCTGACTTTTACAGCAGGAATCACTTACCCCTGCACATTTCTCTCCCCTCCTCCTTCTTTTCTGCCTTTTTTTTACCCCATGGATCTCTGGGGCCCTAGGCATCTTTCTTATCTCTGTCCCAGAACAAAACAAAAACAAGGAAACAAAAGCCTGGGGCATGTGGTCAATCAACTAAACAGTCAGCACGGTCAGCAAGAGGCCCCCTGGGCAGGGGCTCTGAGCCCTGAATGGCTCTCAATTATCTGGGAGTTGCCTACATGAAAATCAGTGAACTCCAGCTTAGAGTTTTTTCAAACATGTCATGGCTTATTTTTTTTGGCTTCAATTTACATGCGTGTGAATGAAAACATACATGGAAAATATTCCTGATTCTTTCTTGTTTACTTCCATGGAATGGAACTAATTTCTGAGAAGTTTAAAAAATTGTAACCTAGGCTATGATAGTTATTACATTATTGAATATTATTGACATGTTGCTATAGTTGTCTTTCAGCTAAATGCTGACCACAGACATGGAAAAATCTGCAGTTAGAGCTCTGTTGTAAGGAAAAAGATAGGGTACTGCTAATCTACCCTAAAATGAAGCCAGGATCTAGCACAAATCATGTGAACGATTTCTCCTCCCTTTCTTTTGTCCTGCATTAGATACACATCATTCACTAGACACCGTTATGGGTGCTGATGGTTGACAGGGATCAAGAAGGATGAGTAGTCGCCTTCAGATGGATACATCTGCTTAATATCTTCCATCCACTCAGAATGTTACACAGCCAATGGTGGATCAAATCTGCCTTCTTCACCTGCCTCTCTGGTCTTTGTTTTGTTTGTGATCTGCGTAAGTAGTGACAAAGGCAACGTCATTGTTCTCCTCAGGAGAAGTGACTCATAACATATGTCACTGTAACCAATGGCCAAGAGACAGTGGCCTTGTTGAATCAGTGTTGTTCTTGATGGGAGAAAATAAAAAATGAGCAAGGTAATAATTCTTCAGAGCTCTCGGATAAGAGAGTTTGAGTATTTTTCCTCTCCTCAGAAACAGAATTACAGGTTTGCTGTATCTCGAGTTCTTCAAAGGGGTGTCTCAAAGCCAAAACAAACACTGGCTTGTGGAAAGGATTCTGCTTTGACTTCTGCTATTGTACAGCAATAAATATTTTTGCGTAGATAAATATATACTGGTGTCAGGCATGTAAACAAATCATCAGTCTTCTTGTGTTCTTTCAGAGACAAAATAAACTTGAATTGTGATTGCACATGTAGAAGAAAAAAATAGTAGTATCATTTTCATTGTTGGTATCTATGACAGACCAAGTAAATCACACCAGTCTTCCCCTTACAGGTTGTGACCCGGTTGAGTTGTAAGAAAAAGGAATATGGCAGAGAGGCCAAAATATCACCCAATTATGCTCTTATTATCTCAAAGATTATGTTGGAGGGTAGACTTGGCTTATCTCTTTTGGGAAAGTGTTATTCTTAGATGCATTAACGTGCTAAGAAATAAATGATGTATGCCCAGTTTTACCTTCCAAAATGTAAGGTAAACTCACCACAGAAGTTAGTAATTAATAGTGAGGCTCGCCTGACATGTATAGCAACTGGTAGGGCTGTTATTCACGGTAACAACCTGAGCTTCTTTAAATGCTAACAGTTGCAAGTTCTAAAAGCAGAAAAAGAGGGCCATTGCTAATGTGCAAGCATTTTTAAGTCCTCTGCTTGTTTCATGTTTGCTAATGTTTCATTAGGCAAAGCCAGTTAGTGCCAACTCAGATTTAAGGAGTAGCTTCTACCTTTTAATGGACTTGCAGGCACATTGCAGGGGTATGGGTGCAGGGTTAAAAAAAATTGCAGCTAATTTCATATCTTACCACACACAGTGTGTCCTCTGATCACATACATTCATATCTCCCCCACATGTCTTCACCCTCATCCCAGGATGTCAAAACTCTCATCTAATCATAATATTAGGGTTAAAGTTCAGGATATTGTTATTTGTATCACATGCCAATCTGAATATGAGTCAGATGAGGCTTCCTATAATCCAGACTCTAATGAAACAGGAGGAAAATTTATCTTCCACACAAGATCAATGTACGATGGTGATACAGGGGTGGGATGACTTCAATAGATACTTTTCCTCCAAAAATGGAAGAGCAGGAAGCATGCTTGTGCCATTAGTTCATAGTAATTCTGAAATCTTGCAGGAAAGATCTTGCCAGTTCTTCCTACTCTGGAGAGTGGGGAGTGATCCATGAATAAGTCACAGTTCTATTCCCTAAGAGCTTTCTCTAGTCTACCATACTCTACTAGAGCAGATAGGGAAAGAAATAAAGAAAAAACTTTCCTATAATAAAAATCTAATAAGGTATTATGCTTATTGAGTGATTTTATATGCTAATAAATGCTTTTAACAAATAATCTCCCTGAATTCTTACAACTCTCCAAGTATGCACTCTTGTGGTTCTATTATGCAGATGAGGTTTTGGGGGGTTAAGTACTTTATCCAAAGTCACAGTTAGTAAGTGGCAAAACTAGGCAGTGACAGATAATGAGTGGGTTGCTTATTGTCAACTGGTAGGCCATAGGGCACATGACAATTTTGTTAGGCTGATTGCTCGGGCCCTAAAACATGGGAAGTTAAGGGGAGATAAGCTCAGACTTTCTTTTATTCTGTGAAGAGCTCGGGGTTTTATCGGGGTACACAGCAGCTGGCCAGTGCTGTAGAACTGGGTTCTTACCCCATACTCCTGGCCACGTCTCATGTGAGGAGGAAAGGCCAAGCAGAGGGCTAACTGAATGGAATACGTGCCAGGGCAGTGCTTGAGAAACATGAAAGACTTCGCAGAAGTGAATTCAGCTAATGGTTCTCCCCCATTTGGCATCAGTGTGAGGAGGAAGGAGCATATGGTATTTAAGGCCACAGGTTCTGGAATCAGAGAAACTGTGTTTGAACCATAGTTTTACCTCTTGGCTTGATCTGAGATCTCAAGGAAATTATTTACCATCTCTGATCTGTCTTTCTGGTGGGGGATGACAATAGTATTTGCCTCATGGTGTTGCTGTACGTGGACTATTACAGCATTTGAGGGAACATTCCTCCTGTTGTTAATGAGAGCCTGAACCATCTATTATTTTATTTTAATTTTCCATTTTTATGTAGACTAAAGACAATTTAAAAATTAATGTTTTTCTTAAGCAAGGGTGAGTCACCACTTCTTAAATGTAAAGAACTTTTGTGCTGGCTAGAATATGAACAATTTATGTCTTTTTACAGTCTCTCTTATTTCTATCTCTGTTTAATCTTTTTTGAGAAGAGGTGACCCTTCCTACAGAGTCTGTTAAAATGCCAAGATATGAACTTTTGTTCAGCGAGGACTAGCGGGTCTGAACCCCAAGGATGCTTCAAGGAAATTTAATCATTAAAACTACTTCTCCCTACACCATAACATCGGAAAGATTCAAATTAAAATCACAACAAGATTTCACCTCACACCTATCAGAATGGCCATCAATAATAAATCAACAAACAAGTATTGGCGAGGATGTGGAGAAAAGGGAAGCCTAGTGCACTGTTTGTGGGAATGCAGACTGGTGTGGCCACCATGTAAAACAGTACAGAATTTCCCCCAAAAAACTAAAAATGGAGCTGCTTTTTGACCCAGCGATTTCACTAATGGGAGGGATATACCCTAAGAATCCCGAAACAGCAATCTGAAAGAGCCTATGCAACTCAATGTTCATAGCAGCATTATTTACAATGGCCAAGTGCTGGAAACAGCCTAAGTGCCCATCAGTAAATGAATGGCTCAAAAAACTGTGGTCCATTTACACAATGGAATAGTATGCAGCAGAAAGAAAGAACTCCTACCTTTTGTGACAGCTTGGATGGAACTGGAGAATATGATGTTAAGTGAAATAAGCCAGTCAGTTAAAGACAAATACCATATGATCTCACCCATAAGGGGAATCTCATGAACAGAATAAACTAATGAGCAAAATAGAACCAGAGGCATGGAAACATGGGACAGATTGACAGCGGCCAGAGGGGCAGGGGGAGGGAGATAATGGTGGAAAGGAGGAGAAGGGGCGAGTCAAAGAACATGTATGAATAACCTATGGATGTGGACAACAGTGTGGGGATGACTGTGGGAGCAGGGGGTGGGCTGAGCAGAGGAGGGTAAGGGGGAAAATTAGGACAACTCAGTAGAATAACAATAAAAAAAAAGAAATACAAACAGCTAAAATGAAAAAAGAAAAAAAAACAGTTTCTGTTCCCTCAGTCACAAAGATTTAAAAAATGACCAGGATATCTCCATCAATTTCCTGAGTAAATGGCCTAAAAGTTGAGGCAACCACATCAGCTTGCTTGCTTAAACTTGCAAAAAGCTTTTAACTTCAGATAGGGGAAAGAAGGTAAGCTCAGGTCCACCACCACTACTGCGAGCACGCACGCACACACACACACACACACACACACACACGAACTACTGACTTTATTGATCCCCACTATCTTCCAGTAGTACTTTTAACCCCGAAAGTCACAAATAGTCTTTGAATAGCTGTTCTTGGTGTCCTAAAATTTCTGAGATTAAAAACAGTTAAGACTTGTGTTTCAACTCAGAAAGCGGATAAACCTATAATATTGTGCAGAACCCAAGACAGAACTGAATGCAATAAAAGTATGGAAACACTATACATAATGGCTCATACATGAAAATAACATGAAAATGTTATTTATTCCTGTTGTCTATAATCTGTTTTAATTAGTACTTTATAGTTTCATGTATTGCTTCTAGAGTTATAATTCTTTATGTGTTTGTGCTTATTCATTCATTTTTTTCATCCAAGCAATACATATTCAGCACCTACAGAACCAGCTGCCCAACTGCTCTGTAGGTGCTGGGAATGTGCAA